GAGCACTGAATGCTGCTGAGTGCTCAGAATATCATGGCACGCAGCCCTGCCCCACGGGAATCACCCGTGGCAGGGGATGGCACACTGTGAGCGCAGGACACTGCATGCAAAGCTGGTCTGCTATGCACCCTAAACACTGTGCCAAACCTCAGGGAGATGTGGCTCCATCACATCACATAATCCCACTCTCCTTCCCGAGCACTGCTTCCTGGGGTGGTGGCACTAGTTGGTGCTCTGCCTGCAGCCCTGTCTTCCCAGCTTGGCTCAGACCCCTGTTTTCCTCTCACCAGCCCCTCACTGGGGCTGGCAAAAACTGCCTTCTGTGCTCAGCTGGGCCTCTGGCCACCCACAAATTTATTGCAGCCACTGGTTTTGCCTAAGATGCCTGGCCAGCTCGTTGGCACACACACATGGGGTTAGTAGGAGTCCTGTTTGCGCGAGCACTGGATGGCACAGGTCCTCCCTGGGACATGATCAGGTCTCAAGCATGTGTCTCCCTGAATCAGGACTCAGTGATAGGGATTGGGGTGAAGAGATGTAACCTCACGAGCACTGTAGGCCATCAAGGATTTGCCACAGTCTGACTGGGGTAAAACCTCTCACTATAGGTCCCACCTTCACTTCAACCAAGGAACTGGTCCCAGGCTGGCCGCCAAGCCCTCAGGGGTTGATTTCATTCCAGGGCTTGACCGAGCAATGTGCACAACCTCATGGACAGGACCCTAGGCTCAGATCTCCCTAATAAACCTGGGGATTTACTTGGGAAGGCCCCTCAGAAGTCAGAATTTCATCTCCCATCTCTGATGCTCCACTGTGACTTCATCTCCCAGCTCCTTGCCACAGGGCTCCTCAGCGGCGCTAGTCAGGTCACTTAACCCAATTTCCCAGTCACAGCTGTGGCTTTTGTTGTGCCCTGGGCCAGTGCTGGAGAGTTGGGTACAAAAGCACTCAGTGCTGGGTGACACCAGAAAGCAGCTGGGCAAACCACAGTGAGGCCCCCCACAAATGAGGAACGCCCAAATCAGCTCTCTGGGGACAGCAATGAGCTGGGCAAGCCTACTGAGGAGCATGGCAAAGGGCAGGAGCCAAAAGCCCAGCACAGATGACAGCTCCTTCTCCATCCCCAGGACCTGGCACATGGCTGAGGGCAGCCATCCACATCCTGGGGAAAGGCTGTCTCCAGCTGGCTTCCCAAGACAGTCTATGGCTGGTTTTTCCTACCTGCATGGGGCTTCTTTGGATGGATATTTTGGGCTGGCTGTTCCTCCTGGCTCACTTCCTTACTGAAGTACCCCTCTCTGCCATCCCCGTTTGCACAAACAAGCTTCCTGATCTATAAGCATTTCTTTATGAGCCATGATCTTTTTATATATATACACACAGGCACGCATATGTGTGTGTGTATATATATATAAATAAACAGCTATTGTTTTAATTAGCCATTGTTTCAGAGCTCTGGAAACTGTTCCCTTCTGAAGACCACCCCGAAGGCAGAGATCTGCATGGGTTTACAGCTCAGCTCTCCTTGAGCTTGCCACTCAGGATGACTTTCCACACTGCTTGAGAACTGGGGTGTATAGGCAACCAAGGAGATATGGAAAGCAAAGGCCAGGGCATGGCAGCTTTCTGCCTATCCTGAGCTGGACCCCCACCTTGCACTGGAGCTGTTCAGCCCTTATTTTGACCTCCTTCTTATGGCAGACAAGATGATGAAGACCCTGACGGAGACCTCAGTCAGACCCATGGTCAGAAACAAAAGAAAGTGTTTCTTCACACACACACAGAGGCATATAATCATATATTTAACATGTGCTGCTCTCCCCTAGAGGATACTGCAGAGATTAAAGTCACCCATGAGTTCAGAAAGCAATGGTAAAAGTTCATGGAGGGGAATCCATTGAGCACCATCTGACACAGAGATGTGTTCTGTGGCTTTCTGAGCATCTTCACTGGGACTGACAGTATTACAGAGAAGCCCCTATGTGTGTTGGCTCTATACTTATGTTCTATAGTCATGCACTGTTGGCCTCCGTCAAAGAGCAGGATGACACTTTTTATGTCTTGCACTGATGCAGACAGAGGCTGAGCACATAAACACAAGGAGGAAAATAGCCACAGAGTCATTTGCTGCCCTCCTTAACATTTTCTAAGCTGGTGGTTTAGCAGCATCAAGATTGGATCCCTACCCCAGCAGAGTAGCCTATAGGTCTCCCATAATCCATCCATTTTCAGCACTTTTCAAAGGTAATTCTGTGGTGAAGGCTCTGCAAGCTGAGTTATAGCCCCAGGCAGTTTTATACAGCTCAGATCTAAATCCCTGTGAAAAATACCGCCTTCTTATGGAAATCCAGCGGCAGGGAGAGCTATGGTGCCAAGTTGGCACCATGGCTGAATAACAGGGAGAATTATGAAAAAGGAAAAAAGAGCAGGGGGTGAAGGGTGGGAGGAGGGGTAAAGCTTGGAATGGGGAAAGTTTCCAAGAAATCCGCTCCTTGAGCTTATTGGGTTTTTTAAAGCAATATATCTCTATATATGTCCCTGGCCCTTGTGCTTGGAGAAGATCCAGGAGAAGCAGAAAGAACTAATCAAACCTCAATGAGAGCTGTTAGTAGCAGAACGAGTGCCAGCACAAAGGGGAAATTAAAGCAGCGAACAACATTCTAGAGGAAAAAAAAAAAAATTACAAATGTTTGCTTTGTTTTACTAGGGCAAGAATAAAACAATAATTTCAATTAGCTGGCAGCCAGCGCCAGGGCTGAGTTCTGTGGTTCCAGACCTGGCTTCAACCTCCACCTGCCTCTGTGCGGAGGAGCGGGGTGAGGCTTGTGCCGGGCAATGGGGTAAGGCATGTTCAGCCAGGCAAACCTAGAAAGCACCTGCTTGCTATGCTAGTCTACTAGAAAACACCAGACCCGACCAAGTTCAAAGGTATGGAGAACTAGGGATTGTCCTGGGTACAAAGGAGGGCTTTGTTTGGAAAGACCTATGGTGCAAGAGGCAAGGGTGCTCTCTGTGGCACTGTAGTGTGTGGCCCACCAGTTTCTGATGGGTTTCTGCCCAGCAATGAATCAGACTGAAATCTTCTGTGATTTGGCCTTGAGAAGTCTTGGGAGCCTCCACAGCTTGTCTGTGCTGCAAGTATTTGTCAGTAGTGGCCCCAAAATTTGTATCTCAGCTCTGAAATGGGTTTGCATTAAACCCAACGGAGCCTTTGGGTCTGTGCCTTGCAGCTTGTGGGAAGCTCTGCTTGCAGGAGAGCAGCCTCAAGCTCAGGTCTAACCTTTACCTTTGGCATCCCTGGGGGCTGGAAATGGTGTCTCAGGAGCCTGCAAGCTGCAGCCAGAGATGCAGGCTGGCTGCAAGGTGCACCCACGGCCATGGCGTCGCAAAGAATGCCCAACTCAAGGATCCTCCTTGCATGTGGCTGGTATCAAAGTGGCACAGGCTGGGGGTTTAACCACAGGAGTTCATCAGCCATGGGCATGTAAATCCCATTGGGTCCAATGAGAATGAGGTGCCCAAATATTTTCAGAAATCTTGTCCTCTGTATGTAAGTTCTGAATCTGGTGTCCCATTCATTGTTAGCTTAATGGTATGTTGTCAGCTTACATGTGCTCTCCCTGTTGTCCCCTGGACTGATAACTCCTGTGTCTGGTAAATGGGAAAAACTGGCTTGTTCCCAGCTTTTCCAGCACTACCCTCTCTTAGCTGGCCAAACATGTCTTCTGTCTACCCCACCATCTGCCCATGATATCACAGCTCACCTTCACATAGTCGTATTCACAGAGGTAGGAGGACTCCAAGTCAAAATGCATGAAGTACAGCTTGATTTTAAATCCCTCAGGTACAGAGATGTTCCATGTCACTTCTGAGTCACTGGGATAGGAATCTGGGAAGTTGGGAGACTGGATCTCCCCAAACATGTCCGTCAGCTCAATGGCATCCACTGTGTAGATTAGCAAGGCACAAAAGGCCCATGTCATAGGGTACCTGGAAAACATATGTGAGATGAAATGAAACTCTGGCAATGCCAAAACCTGATGAGGTCTCAAGCAGGTTGTGTAAGGTCACACACTCCAAACGCCTGGGAGAGGAGGTGCAGCACTCTGCCACCAGGAGCAGCCCCTCTGCCAAGCCACAGGGAGGTGGAGGTGAGGGTGGGAGCTACACGTTGGCCCCTTTGAAAGGTGGATGATGCAGGTGCCACACAGGATGCAAAGGCACCTCCACAGTTCTCAGCTCCAGGCACCATCATGAGCTTGGTGTTTTTCATGCTTCTGGGAGCAGCAGCCACTGTCAACACGTTCTTTAATTAATGGGGCTCTGATGGGCAAATCTTCATTTAATGGAAGAATAAACATAAGGATGCTTAATAAAATAATGATGCTTTCTAAATCAGTTTAATGAAAGTATCATGGCAATAACTGCTAAGTATCATTATTAGCACTTTGCCTCATCCTGCCAAATTGGGATTGTTAGGTCTCAATAAACAACACACATCTTTGCAGCTGGGCAAGGATGGACTGGGTCCCCAGCAGTGCAACTCTCTCCTCTCCTCTCCTCTCCTCTCCTCTCCTCTCCTCTACTCTCCTCTCCTCTCCTCTCCTCTCCTCTCCTCCCCTCCCCTCCCCTCCCCTCCCCTCCCCTCCCCTCCCTCTCTCTCTCTTCTTTCTCTTCTTTCTCTTCTTTCTTCTCTTCTTCCTTTTTTTTTCTTTCTCTTCAGTTCTTAGGGTACCACTCATCCCATATGGAGAAGCACACAGAGGTTGAGATCCTTAGAGATCTTTTGTCATCAAACTCAGCTTTTAAAAAATCTTAGCCTGAAGAGTTTGTCCCAACTTTACTAACTTTCTTGTCCCAGAGGAGGGCAGAAAGGACAGGTAAATCAGTGGCAGTCCACCTGACTTTGCACCACCCTCGAGCTCCATTTGAGCATGAAAGTGAGCATAAACCACATGTTTCTCTGTGCAAGGTGAGAACACTGCCTGTGATGTGGTGCAGACACCAAAGCTGGTGCCATTGCATGGGATTCAGAAAGAGGAGCAGACCTCTGGCACTTTACAACCCAGTGGAGTGCAGAAAGGAAAAGAAACATGCAGGAAATTAGAGCCATTAAAGATGGAAAGTTATGCTTTCTAAAAAGGTACTAAGGCCTGGCAAAGACTTGTAGGTGTGTATTACAGGCACTGGAACTGCTCACATGTACGTGTACACCTGGTTTCAAAATCAGGCTTGATTTGCGTATGCTGGTGAGGAAATTGAAGCACTGTTAGTGGATTATTTTTAACCTGTGTTCTTTCAAAACCAGGGCAATAGATTTCTGGGACTCATTTGTGTAGTTCCATCACTGTTCTCAGCTCTTCATTACAAACCAAAGCTAATAGGAGCTGAGAAATTTGAATTGATTTTTCTTTCAAGCACAGTGAGGTTGAACATGGCTTTTTCTGACAGCTTGTCTGAAACCACAAAAATGTGCGAAGGGAAAATCTGTTTCTCCTCTGGACAGGGTACATGCATGGGGCTGGATGCTTGGCTGGTGAAAATGGGCATCTCCTCCTCAACCTGAATGGGCCTTTTGCTGGTGCAACTTACTGCTTTCCCTTTAAACAGGGGAGACAAAACGACATCAAACTATTTTCTCATGCCAGGAAAATCTTACCCTCACCTAAAGGTGATAAATGACCATGGTGTACACAGAAACCCGAAGCCCTTGCAGCGTGCCCAGCCTCTCTCGCACCTTTTGCCCATGGACCATGGCAGAGCAGTACTCCCCGCCTGCATGCCCATCACCCGAGGATTCCTTGAGCTCTGCCGGGGTGCTGGCACACAAACCGGGCTGCAGCACGAAGCTGAGGCATGAGCAACGCCTGGTTCGCTTGCAGATGGGGAAACCAAAGCCACGGTCATCAGAAGGAAACCTTCCCCAGCGGGATGGCCCCGCTGCTCGGCCGTGCCCCGAAACCACGGCATGCGGGACGCCGGGGTCAGCCCGTTGCGGAGGTACTCACCTCATTTTGCTTCTAGGAGGGTTTGCTGGTGGGTTTGGTGTGGAGGATTGCCGGTTGGTTTGCAGGGGACGGCTTTGCCTCCTTCCGAGTGCTCCGCTGTCCGCCTTATCTCGGTCCGGAGATTTGTGAGCGTGTGTGTGTGCGCCTATGTCTGTGTGCGTCTGGAGTTGTTTGGCATTTTCCATGCAGGTCACGCCTTCCCCTGCCTGCAACCGTTCCCCACATCCCCACAGGCACGCAGGCAGACCTGCCTGCATTAGAACCGTCCTCCCCGCCCGCCCGCCGCTCCCTCCTCTCCCGCCGCCCGTGCGCTCCAGCAAAAGCCGCGGCGCTCAGTGAAGTTTTTGTCTTCCCTAATCTCCAGAGTTTTGTGTGTGTGTTTGTGCTCATGCACATTGTCCTTTTTTTTTCTTCCCCCCCCTATAGCCTGCTTTGCCAGATGGCTGAAATTTGCCTCTCAATAGGGTCGGAGGCTTCAGCAAAAACAGAAGGCAAGGACGTGTGAAACAAAACCTGTGCGGGGGGAAATAGCTTTAGTGTTGGTGCTGCAGCTGGGATTGGTGCTCGAGACTTGCTTTCAGCTTCCCACTCAGTGCCGTGCAGCCTTTGGGATGGGAATCTGGTTTCCAAGAAACTTCTGAGTTGTGACAGTCTGAGTAAAATCAAGACCTAGTTTGCAGCCTCCTGCAGGACTGAAGAGTCGCTGGGTTCAGCGTTTTGTCCCAGGGCAAAAGAGCAGCTTTAGATGCTGACTCTGCTCAGGAGTGAGAACTTTAAAGTTACAGGTTTTGAGTCTGACTCCCTCTTGTCGAGGAAACAGGTAAAAACATGAACACTCCTCACTAAGCCTCGGGAGATACATTTCCCTTCTCTGTGCCAGGCACAAACCAACTCAACCCCCTCGTGTCTACATAGCTAAGTGGGAAGATCTTCTTGGGCTGCAAACAAGGGAACAGCCTGTAAGAACTCAAAGGATGCAAGTGACTCTCTTGTCCAGAAATGACACCCTCGGAGGCATGAAGAGCAAAACTTTAATAGCTGTTTACCAACTTCAGCTTGAGCTGGTTAATGTAAACCCTGCAGACATCCACTGGCAAGCACGGATACATATGCGGCATGTTAAAAGGCACACACAAACAAGAGCGGGGAAGAGGCAGGGAAACAGGGATGTGTTGGCACCACTCCTGGAGCAGCAGCTTCCAGCCCTCCCTGGACTCCCCAGCTCGCTGATGTCAGGCTGTGGCGCTGCCGTTAAAGGGGCGATGTTAATTCCAGCCTCTGCGGCGGCTGTGCCTCTCCAGCGATCCGAGAGAAGCTGAGAAGGAACGGCATGGTGTGAAGAGGATAGAGTTTTACTCTTTTTCCATTTCTTGTCTTTGTGTTTGAGGAGTGACAGTTCCTTGGCTTCCCGTGCAGAAGGCACTTCTCTTGCGCCCGTGGGTCTCTGGTTCTGCACTGGGGAAGAAACGGTACCTAGGAGACACAGTGAAGTAAAATAGAAAAATATGAGTGGAAAAGCACTAGAAAACCAGCAGGAAGGCTCCGGGCAAAGGGAAGATCTCAGCCTGACATTATTTGTAGCTCTATTTTGGATGTTTTAACAGCTCATCACTGAACAGACACAAGCTCTCACTCATGTTAACACACCCAGGCAAGCTGATCAAACTAATTAATATGTAAGCAATGTGTCAAATGCAATGCTTTATTTTTGCAAGCAAGTGTGGTCTTGTCTGAGCCCTGACTACATTGTGATCTATTTTTTCCCTGCCTGTTCTGCAGGGTGGGTCCTTCACACATTTATTTTTCCATCGGGATAGCTTTTTGAAACAGCTCCTCTAGTTCAGGGGCAACTTAATTCTGAAGTGACATCTTCTTTGCTTGGTGATGCCTCAAGCCAGATCACCAATGGTCAAAGTCTGTGATAACACTGTGAGGCTGGACGGGGACATGTGAAGCGGCAACAGAAGCTCCATGTGTTTTTGGACCACATTGCTGGGTGTAGCAAGGGCTTAAAGCATCCATGCTGACCCCCTAGGCTCTGGAGAGCAGGAGACAATGCCCAAGAGGCATGTCACTGGAGACACTATCAGCAGACCGCTGGGCTGGTTTCCCTGCTAAACTGCCATACCCAGGGTGCTTCCCTTGTCCAAGTCCTTGTCCCTGTCTATCAGCCTACCAAAACCCTTGGTGTGCAGAACCATAGCTTCCTGCAGGCTCATGCCAACCAGCTCAGGGGTCAGGGTTTTCTGGCCAAATCTGACCTGTTATATATAGGGCTCCTAAAGAAAGTTGAGAGGCAGTGGCTGAGTGGTCTCAACTGCATTTCTGCCATCCCCAGGTGGCTAAAGCTATCTGCACCCTCATGCAGATAACCCTAACCCTAACCCTATTCCTTCCTGCTCCAAACCCCATCTCCAACACCTCCAGTGTCCCAGTCCTCCACTAAGGTCAGGTCTCCAAACAAGTCTTATTGGAATCCTAATTAGCTGATCTGGGTAATTGCGCTGTCTCCATCAGTTACAGTAGATCAGCCCCAATGGACTCTGCACCCCACTGCTGCTGTGGGTCTAGAGCTGCAGTGCAGGACTCGTCCATGCTGAACCATAGTGCCAGATAGCAGCCATGTGGACTTGGCGCTCCAGGTTGCCCCCAGGCTCCTTGTCAGTATAAACCTTGTGCTGCAGAGTCTGCTGGTGGGGAGATGGTTGCAGGCCTGCAAAGGGAAAGAAGGTGGTGGAGAATCTGCTCTGGCTGCAACATCTTCTTCAGAGTTATTTCCACCTGAGAGGACGGTTTGCTGTGGCCAGGCCTGGACACTCACATGGCTGTGTGAAATGTTCACCAAGAGTAAAGGCAAAGAAAGTTCACTGAGAGGAGGATGTGGTGCTGGCCAGGCAGGGTGCCAGGCGAGGGTCACCTTGTCGCATGTACTGCTCTTTACCTAAAAGATCCAGCTACAGTTATCTATCTCAATGATGCCAGGGCTGCTGAGTCTTGTCCCCACCTTACTGGGCGACTTCACCTCATCATGCAGTAACAGGACTGTGCATGCTGAGTCTTTAACTCAAAAGGAGTGTTTTCTTCCCCCAGTGCTGATGGGGCAGCGGAGTTAGACTGTGACAAACTTATAGACAGACTTGGACCTGCTCTCTCACCAATGTCTCCCATACTTGAAAAGGTCATCCTCAGAGTCACTTCTGCATGTCCAGGATGCTCGCCAAGGAGTGAGCTCAGCAGTGTTATCCAAAGCATTTCTTTAGCGCTGGGGTCAAATTTACCTCTTGGAAATAATACCCCTACACTCAGTGGAGTTAGACAGGGATAAAACAGCTGTGAGGGATAAATGTAGACCTGCAGGAATAACACTGTGGGATGAATCCACAGCTGGTGTAAATGATCATGCACTGAAAACCAGTATCCTGCAAGAGCTTATGGCCCTGTTGTCCCCTGGGTCAGGCCAGCACAGCCCACACCACAGCTTCTTTCAGGCTCTGCGCTGGGCACACTGTGACATGTGCACTGCTTCTTGTCATGATGTATGTGACAGGGACAAAGGTTCTGGCAAATCCTCGACAGAGCAGTGTCATCTATCCTGCTCCCCTCCACCCTGAATGATGGATGAGACCCCATCTTTCAGGAGATGTGAGCTCAGCTCCTAGCATCTCTCCTCCATCCTCCAGGAAAAGCAAGCTCTGTTCCTGGCATCTCTGCTCCAGCTCAGATGGGTTCCTGGAGCCCCCTCGTGGCTCTTTCCACTGAATCCATCCTCGGGGAGCTGCTGGTGGGGCCCACAGCACTCTGCTGCGGGTTCTTTTTGCAGGTCCAGTGGTAGGAAGGCAGCAAGACCCATCCTGGAGATGTCACTGAAGGACAGGGCATGGAGGTGACAAGAGGGACACTCATCCGACACTGACCATCAGAGAGGGCAGATAGTTGCAAAGCCGTCTTCCTGCTTTGTGAGATTGGGAGGAGCACCTTTGCAGTCCCTTACCCTTGGAGTGTGCTGCACAGTGCGGAGTACATGATGCAAGTCCCAGGTGGATGTGGCCATAGCCCAGACCTGGAATGCAGGAGAGGGAGGATGTACAGGCATGGGAAAAGGGGGATATATGACAATGGTCAAAAGAAGAAAAAGATGGGGAAAGGAGGCTACACAGTGGTGAAAATAAGAGGCTTGAGAGGTGCTGGCAAAGGCAGGCTTTGTGGAGAAGAGTGAGGAGCAGCTTGGAGGCAGCATGCACAGAGGTGGTGAGCAGGGGAAGAAGGCTTGCTGCCGTGAGTAGGGGTGTCTGTGTCTCCCACGGGCCCTGTCTGCCACTAGACAGTACTTGAAGCTCTGCCTGTGGTGGCTGGTGGGGACAGTGGCCAAGCACACTGCACTCTGTGGGGCTTTCAGATCTGCTCCTTGCAGGCAGCTCCCACAGATAATTCTACCCCATGGGCTGGGTAAGGAGAAATTGTAGAGGTGGGATGGCTTTCAGGGACAGTGGCCCTGGGCCATGCCAGCCCTCCTCTGGCATTTGCCCTGTTTTAAGGCTCATGCTGCAGCCCTTGGCAGAGGTAACTTGCTGAGGTACATACAGTATTGACTAGAAGGTACCTAGCAAGATAATCTATTGCACTATCAGCACAGCCCAGTGGCTATTTGCAATAAATCAATGCTTCATTTGACTGCAAGAGAAAATCAGATCCATAATGCTGTGAATGGAAATATTGAGCCCTCTTTCTCCTCTTTCAACCCCATCATCTGCCCTTGCATGCACACCGTGAGACACAGATCATGGGTTGTACGCTGGCTGCCAGAGCATGATTATGACTGATATGGAATGATTTGGATTGTTTCAGCAACCTAGCATTCCCTCCTCTGCTGAGACAAGTCTTGGGGGAGCCCCAAAGGATGCACAGAGGGAAAAATGCATATAACACTGAAACAGAATCAGAGAAATGAGAATGCTGTGTCACATATTTGCCCAGTCAAATGGATCTTCTCCT